CTATTGGCATAATTTTTTCTATTTACAAATAATATAGATACTTAGTATTGTAAAATTTATCTACGAGTTCAGGATTAATGTACCGGTACTTTCGCTAATTTTGTACGTTTCAACACTAAATAGTGATTTTTTATGTGACCTTAATCTTAACTCTATGGTGCATAAAATCTTAAGTCATCAAACATTTGTATTTTATAAAATGTATAAACTTCTTTACTAAGAAGTAAATACAAAATTTAATCCGTGAATATGATAGAATAGGCCTTTTCTGAGCATATTTACGGATTAAATTTTGAATTTACTTCTTAGTAAAGAAGTTTATACAGTTTATAAAATAAAAACTTTAGAATTTATGCATCATACGTAATTTTAATTTATTACGTACTTAATAAGTGATTGTGCTACAACCATCAAAGTTTGATTTTTAATAACATGCACACTTAAATTTTCAGATGCTTAATTTCTGTTTATTACATGTAATTGACAATTCCTCTAAAAGTGATATGATAGTCTTAATAAAAATTTTTTGTTTGAAATTTCAATATAAATAATATTAATATAATACATGATCAAATCAATAAATTACTTTATAATTATACTGCTAAATTAAATTATAATATTAAAAATATGAAGATAATATAGAATTTATTATGAATATAACTATATTATTAATTATAAGAATTAATTTTCAATATTGAAATTTGTTAATAAAATTAATCTGAAATTCAAAATAATTTATAATCAAATAATGCTTTATATACACACTTCTATAATAAATTATGGAAACCAAAAAAAGCATATTAAAACATAGTAAAAATTGAAATTATTTCTCTATAATAAAATTTTTATTAATAATAATTATTTTGTGTATTTATATCAAAATAAAGCTAAGAATCTGTATTTTAACATATATTTTTTTGTAAATTTTTAAATTTAACTTCAAAAATATTTTAAATTGTAAAGTTGTTTATAAAAATTTTTTATAATTAAAATTTATAAATTTGAATTTTATTAATTATTTATTTTTATGTAAATAATTTCTTATTGACATATAAATTAAAATAATTCTTATTTTTTTAAATTTAAAGATAAAAATATTATTAACAAATACTTTTTAATATAAAAAATCTTGCATAAAGTAAAAACCATATTTTATATTTTTATTTTAAATTACATTAAATAAAATATTATAAAATAATTATATTATAATTTTTGCAAATACTTTATTTACAAGTTTTTTGATAATATTTTAATTTTTATATTATATATATTTAAAATATAATTAATTAATTTGTTTAATTAATTAATTTAATAAAAATTAATTTTAGTATAATATTTATTTTTGTATTACAATTTGATAAATTTATCAAATTATAAAGTTATATAACTTTTAAGTAGAATTGAAATCTAAATTTAAAAGCTATCTGAATAATTTTGATAGTACTTTTATATTTAATATATTTAATACAGAATACTTTTATTTAAAATTAATAATTATATAAATAAATAACTTACAATTTATTAATTATAAAAATTAATCAAATAAATTTTAAGAAAATTAAAGTAATAACTATTAATTATAAATTTAATAACTTATAATTTATTAATTATAAAAATTAACAAATAATTTTTAAGAAAATTAAAATAATCAATTATTAATTATAAATTTAATATCTTAATTATATTTCAAAATTTTATTTTTTTAATATGATATTAAAGTTTATATTAGTAAATATTTTATTTATATTATATTTCAATGTTTAAAATAAAATAAAAAAACTTTAATTAATATAAAAAACATGATTTATTAGTATTATTAAACCATTCAGCGAGCAAATTTGCCTACTAAAAGTTTTTTTAGCTTATTTTTGTGTATTTACACTATATAAGCTTAATTCACTTTTTTTAATCTAAAATAAAATATAGCATATTTTTAATTAATTTAATATAAAATTTGTAATTTATAATTGCTCAAAATATTTAATTTATATTGTAATCAATTCTGTAATTTTATTATAAAATATTGTTAAAATTTAAGATTAATAATAAAATTTTTTAAAATTGCTTATTTTTAAATATTTTATGGAAGTTCAGCATGTAAATTTGCTTGCTAAACCTAATAGATTAAGGAATAAATAATTAAAACTATTTGTAATCAAGATTTTTGTTTGCTCAAGTATATATCAAGATAAAAAATTTTTATTTTTTAATTAATGAAATTTGAAGAAGTAAATGATAAAAATAACTTAATACATTCAAATATTTTTATTATTTGATTATTGCTAATAATTTGTAAATAAACTCAAAATTTTGTCAATACTTTTCCTTGTATTGTTTAAATTTAATTTTCTCAGAAATTATCTAGTTAAAAGACACTAGTTTTTTTTATTAAATATAGGAGCACCTCGTATTATATATAAGCTTTTTGATGGTTTAAGTTTGTAATGTTTAATGAACCTCTTTAAGCAAAGCTAATATAAAAAAATTACATTGTATTTCTGCACATTGCTAATCTAGAATATAATTGTAACGTTATAAGCTGAATATAATTTTGGTAATTGTGATAAGTCAATAATCAAGTCATATTACTTTAACTGGTACTTAAACAACATTTTACTGTTAACGAGAAAAAATGTTCAATTTAAAATTTTGCTGAGTTAAAAACAATATATTCCTATTGGAAAGTAAAAATAGAGATTTTCAACATTTCAACTTGCCTTCAAGTCCGATTTTTTGAGGGTATATTGCCTTATTCAGAGACATTACAGAAGTAAAACATTTTTTATTTATCAAGTATTTCTTCATTTTTTAAAAAACATATCGCCGTTACTTTTACCTAGGACTGTAAGTGTTACTTTTTAGATATAAGTATCATGAATTTACTGGTATTGAGTTTGATTAGTTTGCTGTATCCAAACTTTCTCATAAGATAGCGATTTCTACATTCGGTATCTCATTTATATCCCACTGGAATGAATTGTACATGGAAATGCTTGAACACTCTTTCTGAACACAACCAAATTCTCATCCATAATTTCGTAATTAGCAACTTTCATCTTGCCAAATCTTAGTGAATTTGTACGAAAAGTCAAATGCTCGATGTATTTCGTTTCCCAAATATTCTTTTAAAATATAGAGACCTCGTTTTCTTATTATTATTAAACTTTTAATAAAGAATTACCATAATAGATTGTCACACTTGAACATACTGCAATAACTTTGCTGTCGAATCAATAAAAATGGCTATTGCGAAGTTCCATGACTTTATCAGAATCGTCAAAATGAATTCAACTTTCAAGTCGTAGCGGATAACATATTTTCCTGCCTTTTAAATATGATATTCCGATATTTCTTCATTTATATATTCAGCTATGTTAAACTCTTCACACGGAATCTTTTCATTTGCTCGATTTGTGAATTGCACTATTCCATGATTGGATATCACATTTTGGGCATACGGTATTCTCAAACTATGATTTATTTCAGCCTATATCTTATTTTTAAGGCATGTACAATTTTATCGTTATCGTTATTAAATTCGATAAGGATTGGTGTTACATGCATCTGACGCAAGCTGCCATCTGAGGTGTCACTAAGCAAAAGTCTCAGATTTGAGATTATAAATACGTGTACATGTGCGATTTGTAAGTGAACAACTCAACAGGTTTTAAATTAAATTTCGTTGTTTAACATCATCGTCGTAAGAACCAACTCAATTTGATTGATGAAAAAATAGGATTCTATTAAGCAGTGCTTTTGTGAAAAGGAAAATATATTATGCCAACTAAAATATTACTAGAAACTGTATGATAGCAACACTACACAAAATAAATTAAATGACGTACAAAATAAATGATTTGTGCATATGTAATTATTACGTATAATGCAAGTTTTATCGATTTTTTCAATGAGAACTTTTATACTCGACTTTTTTCCGAAGGCTATAATGCAACTGATACAGTATATAAATCGATATGGTTTATTTAGCGGGAAAAGCGATAATTTTTGTAAATGATGATAATAACGATAATAATTACATGTAGTTAAAATTGATGTGGATCAAGACGCAGCAATATCTTTCTTATCAATCTTTATTAGTTTGAAAACCTGCAGATGATGCAGCTTTGTAAAGATATTTGCATTGACGTTTTATTATATGACTACTAATAACGATAACAAGAGACGTAAATGCCGATTTTAATTGAACTTATTATGGTTACCGAAAATGGTATTATAAAAACTCACACTAACACAATGATATTTCCGTTTACTTTTTTTAAAATTAAACAATAAAGTAAAGCTGTCAACAAAGATCATTTAAATTGGCTAAAATATAACATAGGCGTATAATAAAAACGGTACACATAAAACAATTAATACTATGAAACACATCCCAAACTCGTATCTATCGAATGAAAAAAAAAGCTTTTTTCTTTTCCGTATTAAAAAAAAATATGCACCATAACGATAACGGAAAGGTAAAAAATCCTTGAGAAAAATGCTCAGAACAATAATGATGCGCCACTCGCACATTAAACCTAAATGGTCTTAGCGTTAGACTCCGGTTATTTTCTCGTCATCATGTCACACAATCACAAGTTCGTTTTTCTATTGATAACTTTAAAATGTAATATATGCGAACCGGTACATATTTGAGTTCCATATACAGAAAAAATGCGTATAATCGTCTGCCAAATTGCCAACCTGCTTGGTGAGACAACACGCAGTTCAAAATAAAGTGTTATTATTGGTGTAGAGATCCATGCATCTAAAAACATAAATAAATTGGTGGGTCTTTAAAATACAGCACAGTATATTCTTGGTAGTTTCGCAGTTTATCTGATATATTTTTTTTTCTTTTGGCTCCCCCCCCCTTTCTTTTTTCTCGTTTATAAATTCACCTACCTACAACTTAGTTGAATTATATTCCACATTAAGTTTAAAAAATCAAATTTACTTGAATTGAGTTTAAGTAATCGAAAAAAGCACCCCCAGAAAAAATGAAACCAGTAGTCACGGAGACCCAAAATTTACCTAAATTCGAATCCGACATATCTCTATGCTCAAACCCTTCTTCTCAATCGTCAAACCCTTCTCAATCATCAACAGTCGAAATAAAATTATATACAGACGAAACATCGTTACCATCTCAACCTCAACAACAACCAGACGACTCGTTCAGAATAGATTTACAAAAATCAAAATTAAAAAACGCAGGAAAATGTCAAAGACAAGAATGTAGCAACAAAACCAGGACAGAAAGGGTCAATTTAAAATTAAAATACGAATATTATTGTAGTGAAGATTGCTATTGGAAAGACGTCGAGCGATTGACAACGACGAAAGCTGTGTTTCTTGATAAAAATGATATGGATTATGAACGTGTTGCAAAACCTTTTAAAGAGAAACTTCCCAAATCAAAAATACGGGCTATTTTTCGTCTTCAGATGCCTCATTCCATTGCTGAAGCTCATCGTAATTATAAAGAAAATAATGAGGATAAAATAACACATAAAATGTATCATGGGACTTCGATTCTTTGTAATGCTGCTTTCTTATTAAAGGATAAACGTAACTGTATGAGCGAATGTGGGATGTGTGGAATTGCTGCTAAGGGAAATAAATGTTCGTTCTCTCATTATGGCAAAAGTACGAGTTTTTTCTTGTTTGTTATTCTTTATTTAATTGTTCGAATATAACTAATATAACTTCATTTATAATAGAAATGTGGTTTGCGAAAAATCCCGAAATCTCACTTTCATATTGTTCCGGCAAATCAAAATTAAAAGCAATGTTTGCTGTTGACGTGATCTCCAAAGAACAGAGTGAGATATTAATCATCTCAAACGAAGAGGTAAATGTTTTATCGATAAATAAAAATACAATACAAATAATTAATTTCGGTCTTTATTTTATAATTAGGCAACTCTTCCGAGATACCTTATTCTTTTCAATCGTACGAAATGGAGTCGATATTTGTGGTTTTGTCGATAACTTTCATTTTTTAGGCCTCCCGTATTATACTGTATTATACGATATATGGTATGATACTTGTGTCAATTAAATGTATACAATTATTACACTGTATAATACTAGTACCCTAGCTACGGCAAAAAAAAGTGGCAGATCACGTGATTCCGACCTGATGCCGATCTGATCCGAATATTCTGTCCGTCACCGAATTGATGAACAAAAAAATTATATATATATATATTA